CTCGTAACGGCGCACACGCTCGTTTTTTTCCGCGACGCGCTAGCTTCACCAGGAGCAAAACGGCGAGGGGGGTCGTACCCCCCCCCCCCTCGGCCGGCGCGTATGTAGAAAGCCAATAAGTCCGGCGAGGGTTAAAACTGCGTTCATACAGCTTAAACCACTTGGAACACGGCTATGACCAGTGAGAGCAGCGAAGAACGTGGGGGGACATATGCAACAAATAAATCTTACAAATAAATCTTACACGGAACTGCCTCCCCTCGCAGCACGTCGAGAAACAATGTTCAAAACTGCGAATGTTCTACCTATACATGTTTTTAAACGTTTTAAGGCTGAAACAGACTCTTTCTGCATTCAGGAAATCGCATGCGAGAGCCTATTCAAATACATTATAATTCTTCTCGCATCAATCGCTTGCGAGAGGTGCGTGCGATTGATGCGAGCGTGCTCCCATGCATTAGAATAGTCTCTCGCATGTGATTTCCTGACTGCGGAAAGAGTCTGTTTCAGACTTTACGCCCTTGTTTGGTGAAAAAAGGAGGGGTGTATAAAAAACGCCAGCCCACGCTACCGCACTCGTTTTTTTTTTCAAAGAAGATGCCGAATAAATGTCCCCTTGTAAGACGAGAACTGGCTTACATTCAGGTCATAAGATGTAGAAGATACAGGGAAACACGATTTAATTTGTTTACGAAGTGCGTCGGAGCCTATTGATGCAAATACGTCGGCCTTGAAATGCAGCCAAACAGTCTCCTCTTGGCCTGCTACCGACCGTGTAGGTAACAGGGTTGTATACCAATCAAGTCGATTGAATTGATTGATTTGTTTCAACGCGTATTTTGAGTTGATTGGATTGAGTCGATTGACTTTTCGAGATGACTGGTTGACTGACTCGTTTGACTTAAGCGACTGGTTGACTGATTTGATTCCCGAAAATTAGAGTGACTCGTATGATTGAGTCGATTGAATGGAAAGTTCAAATAAGTTTTAGTTGACGAAAAATAATGACACCAATTGATGACATCAAAGATCACAAAACTACACTGAAAACTGCTTGTCATCACAAGTGCAATATGGGGTAGATGGCCAAATAAAGAACAGGGCCTAAACATGAACAGCCAACTTTGACTTTCAACTGCAATAACTGCTCCAATCCTGGTGATAGAACCTGGCGATGCACCTACCTACCTTTCTGCACTCAACAGGAAACGTTTTTTTTTTTTATCCAGATGATAAAGTGCAAGGCCCTATATACTAATAAAGTGTGATTAATTAATAATTCACATCTCCACAGTCCACATCTCCTCAGAAACAACCCACTAAACTCTATAAATATATATATTTTTTTGAAACCCCTACAAAAATAACTGAAACAAAAGCGCCGTTTTCGTCTTGCTAATTACGTTTACGTGCCTAATTAATAGCTAATTTGCTGCATTGTTTAATTTGCAGCAGAACGTTTGTTGATCATTTTCTCCTGAGAGCCTAAGCATAACATTTTTAATATATTCCATTTTCCTTAAAATATTGTACCGAATATTATTAAGTGGTTTTATATCAAATGAAATAATAATGAAAACGAATTTGGTGTTGAACAACCGATTTATTTTATGATGATCTACCATACTACATGATAATCAATGACGTCATCTTACCAAAATATCAGAAGACGTAGAATAAGGATTTATAAAAGCTTAGCCTACTTATTGGCAAAACGTTTTCATTATGTTCAAGGCCCTATATACCAGGTAGGGTCGTCCGGCGATTCTACCTTTTCGTGACGTCAGCTCGTGACGTCATTTGGAGTCAAGTCTCGAAGCCCCGTTCAATCCCCATGTAAATGAGCGATTTTCGAAGCACTGTAGAATGAAGTCTGCACAAGATATATCAAACCTAAGTATCTTATCTGAAAGAGCAGACAATTTTCTGCAAGTTATCTATTACGTGTTTTTCGCTAAATCTTTTGCTTTTTTCACAAAAGCGTAAAATGTCCCCCCATGTCTCCGCAGCCTCCCTGCCGCCGGCCGCCGCGCGGTCGCGGTAGTGTAGTGGTTAGCGTGCCCGCGCAGTATTCCAAAGGTCCCGAGTTCGAATCTATGCGGTGCGGAACTTTAATTGCAATTCCAAGCTGAATATACGCACATCCATAATAAATTATTATTCGTATAGCTAAACTGTCACCAAGCTATCCATATAAATTGACTTTACCCAAAATATCGGCAAGATTCTATTAAAATATAAATTCAAATATGGCGGCTTGGACTGCCGCGTGCGTTAGGCTCCGCCCATAGCTCCGCCCACATGCGTGACGTCATTCGTGTTAGTGGACACGCAGAGAGATAGGGGACGACATGGGCCTGAGGCCCACGACATGGGCCTGAGGCCCATGTCGTCCCCTATCTCTCTGCGTGTCCACTAACACGAATGACGTCACGCATGTGGGCGGAGCTATGGGCGGAGCCTAACGCACGCGGCAGTCCAAGCCGCCATATTTGAATTTATATTTTAATAGAATCTTGCCGATATTTTGGGTGAAGTCAATTTATATGGATAGCTTGGTGACAGTTTAGCTATACGAATAATAATTTATTATGGATATGCGTATATTCAGCTTGGAATTGCAATTAAAGTTCCGCACCGCATAGATTCGAACTCGGGACCTTTGGAATACTGCGCGGGCACGCTAACCACTACACTACCGCGACCGCGCGGCGGCCGGCGGCAGGGAGGCTGCGGAGACATGGGGGGACATTTTACGCTTTTGTGAAAAAAGCAAAAGATTTAGCGAAAAACACGTAATAGATAACTTGCAGAAAATTGTCTGCTCTTTCAGATAAGATACTTAGGTTTGATATATCTTGTGCAGACTTCATTCTACAGTGCTTCGAAAATCGCTCATTTACATGGGGATTGAACGGGGCTTCGAGACTTGACTCCAAATGACGTCACGAGCTGACGTCACGAAAAGGTAGAATCGCCGGACGACCCTACCTGGTATATTATGTTCCTACTTCCTTTGTCCTTAACTTATCCTGTGGTTCCAGAGTCCCTGTCCTCTCCATTTCCTTTTAAATATATTTTTAATCCTCATCCCTATCCCCCAGTCCTAATAGTTTCAAATTGTATTGCAATGAAATGTTTTGAATTTCTCACATAGGTACCTAACATTGACATGCCACGTCCAGAGTCGTGGACAGCTAAATACTTCAAATCTCTTCCTTCCCAATCTGACAACATCCCACGTCTCAAATGCACATTGTGTGGAAAGATTTTTCAGGCTGCCCGTCAGTCTCTGTCTAACCGAAACCGTCACATGCACAATGCAGGTAAGATATTTATTTCTATTTCCCTATGGTTAATATGTTATTGATGCATATTATCCGTTAAAATAAACATGGTGTAGGGTAAATGGCCAAATCACGAACACTGCCAAAATCCGAGCAGCCAACTTTCAACTGCGATATCTGATATTTAGTGTAAATGGAGTTGGAATATGGCCAAAATTAAATTGACAACTTTTAGGTGAAAGGTGGTGATTTGGGTTAAGGGGCGAGTCAACTACTGGGTTATTTTGCACCCATTAAATGAAACTTCAGCTCAAATTCTACCCATTGAACCTCAATATCATGATCCACCTGTCCATCACTAGGTATCCTTCCTTATTACATAGAAACTTTGAATGGCATGGCAATTTATAATTTCAAATGACAATATTTTTATGTTTCTTCTGTAGGTAGGTAGGTAGGTAGGTAGGTAGGTACACCAGACTGCTATGGACACTTTTCCAAGTTGGTGGGGCAAAAAACCTAATGTATGTCTTGGTTTGAGTCGTTTGATTGAGTTGATTGATTCCTTTCATTGTCGCGTTTGAGTCGATTGAATCAATTCCCGAAAACTGCTCTGACTTGATTGATTTGATTGGTTTCCCAAATTTGTCGTGATTGAATTGATTGCTATTGATTGAGTCGTATACAACCCTGGTAGGTAATCACATTTGCGATTGCAGCCCAGGCTCCTGACGTCACTGAATTCGAAGTAGGTAGGTATAGGTACCTAATGACATCAACTTTCTACCTGACAAAGTGCGTTGTTTGGGCTCACATAGGTACGATTGCCGATAGATGTACGCAAAAAGGGATAGAAAATGCTCATATGTATATCGGGACGTTTACATTTGCTCTAGCATGTTTCAATGTTGTTGTTTTTAGTTTTTAATTTAGGCTTGATGAAATTACCCATGCTATGCCGTGCAAAGATTCGTAACCGAAAGGAGAAGTTTGCGGTGCAAAACGCACGCATCATATTCTGAAATTGAACAGATTAACTCTCCACCCCGATTCTCACTAAGTTATCCATTATCCAATTTGTAGAACAGGCACCAAACAATAAACGACGAGCCTGTCGTGTTGAGCGTTGAGCGCCGAGCGAGTGGTCTGCTCCTGCGGCGGCCCCTGTCACCATTGACCTCAATAACTGTCAATGCGTGCTAATAGTTGATCTTGTTGCTGGTGTCCTCAGGGGGTTGGTGGGGATGATGGCCGGCACCCGTCCTCGTGTGGCCCGGGACCTCATTACCTGAGACCTTGGCAGAGAGCAATGATGGGCTCACAAGGCTCGGGAGCAAAACAGAAACAACTTGAGCAATGAACATGCTTATGTGTATTGTGTATGTACACGTCTGCGAGAATTGCCATGCAATGCATTTAATCATTCATTTTAAGACAATTTATTTAGTCCACTAAAGGCGGAAAAAATAAAGTGATGTGGAGTGTTCGACGCAACTTCATAGTACAATTCAGGCGTCGTCTCAGACGCTAGGCGCTATGTGGTAACTGACGACAGTGCGGAGAGCAGAGGTCGGTGGTGAATGTGATAGGTACTCTGACGCAGCCCGCCGGAGATCAGAGGTCGGTAAGTGATGCACTGACGGCAGCGCGCCGGCCGTGCCGCGCCGGTTAGAGACGAGCACGGCGCTCCGGCAGCGCGCTCTCCAGCCGTGCTCAGTCGTCGTCGGGCTCCGCGAGGAGGGGCACGTCGGCTCCGACGCTCGGCGCGCGCGGCGTGCTCGCGCCGCTGACGGTCGGGTGACGAACGGTGACCGAGTGACGCCGCAGACGCTGACGGAGGGTGAGGGACTGTCCGGCACCACCTCTGACCCGTGACCTCAGCCGAGAACAGCAGCCGGTGAGTGACCCGGTGTGAGGTTCGTATACACAGGGGCCTGCTCTGGAGTTCACGGACCCTTATTGTGACACAATATGCTGCTCTTGGACCCGGTTGGCTCTGCAGCTGCCCCCAGCCTCTCCACTCTCTGACATGCTTCTATGTCACACAATGCAAGTGATTTAGTAGGAAGCAGCTGGCTGTTGACAAGATAAATACCAATGAGAACTATAACACATACGAGTAAAACATGGAATGTAGACTGTCCGTGTTACACCTTCCTGAAATATAGTGAAGCATTTTTAGAAGGGCAGGCACGCCGTGCTTGTTTAAGTAGAAGTGGAACGATGCAGTGTACCTAACTGCATGCAGATATGAAGAAAAGTGAACTACAAATTTGAAATCCACCTATCTAGAATTAGTCAGTCGACAAACATGAACAATTCTTCTAGCTAGATACTGAGATATATTTTGGATATTTTTTTATGAAAATATGATAATGAAAGTATTTTAAACTGTCCATTTACTAGGTACTGATGCTGATACATATTTTCAAAAATTCCATAATAACTAGTATTCAAAAATTCCCAAAGGCCCAATTCATCCCTCCGAGAAATGAATTCACAAATATTTTGATCGCTTCATTTTCTCCGGGGATGTTTTGATATTTCAGAAAAATACAAGCTGACGCTTTTGTGACGCTCCCATATGATTACATGACTTCAAACGATATGCCACAATTCCTGCATCCTTTTCAAAAGCAGTTGAAAGCGGATCCATCCTTGAATCAACAAATATGCAATGAATTCCCGAACTCGAGTGAGGGCAAGGCAATATTTATTCTAGACATATTGAGGTTCAAAGTACGATACAGAAGGGAGGAAGAACGCTTCTTACGAAATATACGACGTTTTGAGTGACTGTTTTGTCGGTGGTGTTCATAGAACGTAATGCCCGAAGTTGATTTTGAATTGTCATAACCATTTGGTTTTACGATTTTTTTTTTATTGAAATACGTGTATCATAAGTTTGTATCGTTTCAACCAGCTCCCACGCATTAGACCATCCATGACGCCACGACTTCCTTACACGATTATATCCGAACAGCTCCTCTTAGTTTTGCCTTCGAAATGATTTAAGCAGACACATGCGCCTCGGTATACTCGTAGGTAGGGGAAAGTGGGGTAAGACGGGCACCCTAACTTTGAAGCCATTTTTCGGCCAGTTAATAACAACATAGAGACACGAAACTGAGTGAAACCCCTTTTGTAGACAATAGACATTTTACTTCCATTTGCCAGAAGATGAACTTTAGAGCTGATGCAACAAATAAACTGTAGCTATTTTTTTACAACACCTTGCAAAAACCGTCTTGCCCCGCCCCATGGGACAAAACGGTCGCATGGGTAAGGTAAGACGACCAGCTACTTTCACCGACCAGCACAGCTGGTAATAAATACCCGAGATTAGCCGCATTGATACAGTCGCTCGTTGGTCTCAAGTGCTTCGAAAAGGCAGTATACGACTGAGATTCGTGCAGAATGCGCATGCTTGTATGCAGGGATGCGGAGCCGGAGCCGGAGCCGGAGCCGGAGCCGCCGGAGCCGGCATATTTTGCCCGGGGCCGGAGCCGGAGCCGGAGCCGTGAAACAATATATCCCGGAGCCGGAGCCGGAGCCGGAGCCGTCAAAAAAGGGGGCGACTCCGGCTCCTTTTCTTAAGAGGGAACAATTATTTACCTAGTTCGGTTTGACAGTTGAAGGCGTGAAACAATGTGGTATTCAAAATAGCCTTATTATACAAATACAGAAGCAACGTGTACCAATCCCATCGCCCTTTTTCTTCCACCCGTATTTAATTGATCGCATAGGGGATGTACTGAGTAGAAGCCGGAGCCGGAGCCGCCGGAGCCGGAGCCGCCGGAGCCGGATCATTTTACTCGGAGCCGGAGCCGGAGCCGGAGCCGCCATGACATTTCACCCGGAGCCGGAGCCGGAGCCGGAGCCGATTTTTTTCTCCGGAGCCGGAGCCGGAGCCGGAGCCGTCTGAAATTTCCACGGCTCCGCATCCCTGCTTGTATGTATAAGGCCCTAGTTCAGAAGCCTTGTAAAGCCGTCTTTCATTTTCATTATTAGAGGATACATTGTACCGAAGAAATGTTGCTTATATGTTTGCAAGTGTCGAATTCGAACACATTTTCACCAGAAATGCTTCTTTTTTCCTACAGAAACAGAAATATTTTCACCATTTAAAGACCCATTGAATCCATACTCGCCCGTCTTACCCCAAACTCAATGTTAGAATTTTAGCACGATTTTTATCTGTGGACAGTTTGAGGCAGGCGGAGCAATTCCGTGGTAAATTAACATTGGTGGCATATGAATGTACCACAAGTGACTACTAGTTGTTAGCTCTATTGTGCTGCACACAAAAGTTTGCACAATACACTATGGATGTTTTCAATGAAATGAGTGTTTTTTAAAGAAATCGAAATAAAAGATAATTGACTGAACGCAAATTCAACAGCCTTCAATGGTTGTGTGTGGTGGGAAAGGCAACTCTGGTCCTAATTTTTCTCGCTCGCAGCGCTGCTGGTTTGATCTGCAGATGGGGTGCCCGTCTTACCTACCGTCACCGTCTTACCCCACTTTCTCCATATGTACAGATGTTTCGGTTCTAAGAGCTGCTCAAATAAAAAACTTCTTCCTGGTCTGGTTCCCTGAGAATAGTAAACAGATCGATCGATAGACGCTGGAAATAGTAGTCTGGTTGACAGTTCTCGGAGGGGATCCAACAGAGCTCTGCGAGATTAGAGCATAGTGTAGAATCTGACTTCATTGGGTATTCAATCATGTCATTCATTATATTTTGAATAAGGTTTTTGCTAGTCAAAGTTTTGCAAGAAAACTTACCAGGACGAATAGCTCGTGATGGTATGATTTTCATGGACGACATAGCAAGTGCAGTGTTCAGTTATTTGGTTGATCCTATTCTTTATTGGAATTCCAAGCATCTGTTATTAGTGAGTGACTATGAGGATGCCATCAGGGCACATACCACGTCTGACAAAGTATGCTCATGAAACAAGTTGACACTCTAGCCAGAAGGCGGTCTAGGCATCGACTCAGTAAGCACGAGTTGTTTATGGCTTATCGCCCAGGCGCCAGTGATGTCCAGCACCGCAGTTGAGCTGAAGAAAAATGTTACGCCTCTCCCAAGTTGGCAACGTCATTGGTGTTTAACCATGCTTCAGCAGGTAATCCGTTTTTACATTGGTTTTTATGCACTAAATTACGGTGCACAAGAGACGAAACAGCCTTTAAGTGCCGAAGGCGAAGTACCGGTTGGACCAGTGAAATGGGGAGCGGGAGCTCGGAGGAGAGTGAAACTCGTGGATATCAGAAATTAAGCTTTTCATTAAACCCACCCAATCGATCGTTCCGATTCAAAATGACGGCATGCGGTGCACTGAGCATTGAGCTGAGCACTCCCTCAAATCCGTTTGATCTGCGCTTCAGATGAGTAAATATGTGATTACATACAGACGTGAGGGAATGTTTGCCGCCGTTGAACAACTCCCTCTGCCCTCACAATCCCTCTTCTCAATTCCAGGTCTCCCTCTTCTACCCTCTTCCATTCTCGCCAAGGTGCAGTGCAAGGCATACCGCATGTACGATGTGGACACAAACTGTATCGCTGGAGGCAGAGGACGGCAGCCAACCCTGGCTTCTCCCGATTTAATTGCAATGTAGCTGGATAATTGTTGCTGATGTGCTTATTTTGCTTTGAAAAATCACCAATTAGACAATGTCACTATACCTCGTCGCAAATCCTCCCCTCGATAAGTTTTTGCGTACAATTTCGCATTTGGCGCTCGTCTCAAATGTGTAAAAATCAAATGCGTTTACAATATTGCGTATTTTCAAACACCTTTATAGGCACTTGAAAGCTATAAGACCGCACTCAGGTACCGGTGAGTGAGCGACTGGCGAAAAATTCTTCGAACCCACTCCTGTCTTGGTGAGCACCGTCTTGCCGTGCCCTGAGAACGGCCCGAGCTATAGCGGCGTGCTCTCGCGGCGGCTCGTCTCTCAGTTGGAGCCGGCGCCTCACTCCGACCCCTGTCCGACTCCTCGCCGCTCGATCCCGCCTCAAATGCGGAACCCGAACAGCAGCCCGAGCCAGGTTTACGAACCAACTCTTTTACGGTCGGCACCGGAGAGGCAGCTGGGTCCGCCGCTGGGGTGGCGGACCGGCTGGCAGGGGACACTGCAGCCCGGTGCTGGGACACCTCAGCCCGGGGCCGGGGCACTAAGCCCAGACAGCCGCCGACACGGCTCGTAGCGGCGGCTCCTTGCTTTGCGTACGACCGAGCTGCTCCCCGACACGCGCCGGATGGGAGCGTCCTCTCGGTGCCGGCGGCCGGAGATCTGCCGTCACTCATCGGCCTTCACCACTGTCAGACCACGTCTGAAGGCTGAATACAGAACCGCATGCCGATAATGTTCCATCACTGGCTCGGTGCCAGACGCCCGCCGCCGCAGTCAATGAGTACAGTCGCCATTTTATTATATATGGACTTATATGTTTGTCTGCAATAGCATGGGACGATTATGCACTGTTTATTTACATCGTTATCGTGCCGTGGTATATGTCACCGGCCTCATACACCAGCACACAATTAACTGTCAACTAAAGGGACAAGTCTAAATAACACTATGCAACAGTCATTTTGTTCCTGAGTAACGACCGATTTTTTTGGACTCATTGGGTCCCATTATAACCGAAATGGGCATTTGTTTTGATCTGAAAATGCTTTTCCGGTTTTCAGAGACGATTTTCGATTTTTGGCCCCGAAATTCGGTTTTTGGCCCACTGTGTCCGGTGTAATTGAGTAATCGACTCGCGGTAACTTTCATCGCCCTTCCTATGCTACAAGCTTTCGAATGATATCCGGTTTTGCATATTTGCGTGTAAAAATAACGTCATAAATCTATGTTAAAGTAAGAAAATATTGAAATTTTGTAAAAATTTCACATTTTTTCGATTTCATTTCAAAATAGAGTAAAAACTAAACGCCCTATCCAAACTCTGAGCCCAGTTCCTTGAAGAGCATTCAATTTCCGTTCGGAAGGTACTATTTTAGTGCATTTTATCGGTTTACTGTGGCGTCCAGATTGAGTCACTTGAAAAACGGGCCCCCAACAGATCAAGATTCTGAGCGACAGGACTGCTCAAAAGTAAGTTCCTGCGTGTGACCCGAGGTCACAAGGAGTCAACAAAATGACCTCAGTTGACCCCTCGTTGATCCTATGGCGTTAACAGGTTAATGCTATGTGATATGACTTAGGATATGTGTTTAGGTTAACTCAATCTGGACGCCACAGGAATCCGATAAAATGCACTAAAAAGGTAACTTCCGAACGGAAATTGAATGCTCTTCAAGAAACTGGGCTCAGAATTTGGATGAGGCCTTTAGTTTTCCTCTATTTTGAAATGAAATCGAAAAAAATGTCAAATTTTTACAAAATTTCAACATTTTCTTACTTTAACATAGATTTATGACGTTATTTTTGCACGCAAATATGCAAAACCAGATATCATTCGAAAGCTTGTGGCATAGGAAAGGCGATGAAAGTAACCGCGAGTCGATTACTCAATTACATCAGACACGGTGGGCCAAAAACCGAATTTCGGGGCCAAAAATCGAAAATCGTCTCTGAAAACCGGAAAAGCATTTTCAGATCAAAACTAATGCCCATTTCGGTTATAATAGGACCCAATGAATAAGAAAAATTCGGTCGCTTTCCAGAAACAGAAAATTTTTCATTTTTTGTTGCATAGTGTAATCACTATTTTGTATGTGATACTGACAAAGTGGCAAACTCCGTAACACTGCAGAATCAGTTTGCACGTCGCATATTTACTTCTCAGTCTGCGCTTATCTTCACTGAACACGCTCGTTCAGTGTTTATTAATGTCCCGCTCCACACTTCAGCAGCCTTCTTAGTCTGTATTTTCTTAGCTTGTCAGCCAGTTTTGCACCGCCAGCATCTTCTGCGAATATATTTATATTCGAATGCAGAATCATGTAAGCTGTTACGAAGCAGCCAAAGTCCATTACGAAGGCCTTTCGTGACATCAAATATAGACATTTAATAGCTGTTTTCGAAGTCGCGACCGTGAATGATGGCTGCAGCGGAATGCGGCATGCAAATTCCTTTCTGCCAGCTTCGTCTTAGAAGTGGCTCACCAGGCTCACCAGGTCGCAGGCGCTGTGTTGGCCAGGAACCGTCAGCTCCACGTTACAGCAAGTGATTTGAGAACGTGATAAATAACACCCCAAAAATTGTAGCAAACAATTACGATTGTCAGATGGCACAATGTCACAGCTCAATCGTCATTGGTTTGTCCTGTTGAGATTCAGGTAGGTTTTCTGCTAATTATAACAGGTAGATGATACCGAGCTCTCGGATCAATATTGATTATATGTGCGTCGCCCTCGGCACCAGCCGAGCTACTGTATGTACATAAGCAAGAGTTCGCCCCAATGCCGACTGCCGGGTGTGTTTCTGTTTTAGACGGCTGTGCTGTGTAGTGGTCCGTTGGTCCAGACGGAGTGGTCGCAGACAGTCCCTCAGCGGTAATCTCAGAGGACCATCACCGAGCTGCCGAGATCTGTGAGCCGCTCTCAGCGCTCTCACAGCCGCTCTCAGCGCTCTTACAGCCGCTCTCAGCGCTCTCACAGCCGCTCTCAGTGCTCTCACAGCCGCTCTCACTCAGCGTACCCACAGCGGCCTCGTAAACTCCTCGCCGGGTATGTCTCTCTGGGAGCCGATGGGATAACAGCATTGGCGCAGTAACAGTCGCGTGCGTCTGACCGGTCGGGTTTCATGGTTTGTTTTTCGCTCTGTCAGAGGCAGGCGTATTCGTATTAGCGATAATAGGAACAGGGTGGCATGTGATAGGCTTGCGGTGATGTATGATATACTCAGTAATTTATGAAGACTCATTCAGGAATGAAACAGTAGGTACGCAATGTGGGATGTTGGACATTACCGTACAGCTATTCTCATCAGCATCACGCGTAGAGAGCGTGTCTAATTAATTATTTACTGATTAGTTGGGAGCGACACTGCTCACTGCAGGCAGGCGGCTCAAAGTTGATCAACTTTCGCCCACTGCAACAGCTCTTGCAGTGAAACGGAACGCCTGCGAATGCGATCTAATGCCTGTTTGGCGAGCGTCGGCTCCGTAAACTCCTCTGTCGCCGTCACCAAACTGTTTGATTGCCAAACTGTGGGAGCGGCCCGAATCGCTCCTGTCTCGCTAAGCAACAGGAGTTGCTGTCTAGTTATCCCAAACACCCGACGGGGCCCTGTCAAATCGCCGCCCGAGTTGGATGTCCGACTGAGCCGTTCGCACGCGATCGCCTGCCGGTCGAATGCCGGCACGATTGTGGAAACGGTATGGATTTGCTCTCGTTCTGAGGTGGGGATGGCTGGCTGGTCAAAGTTTTTGTTTGTTCAGAAGTTAGTCCAGAAGTTAACTACCGGCGAATGTCCGCAATAAATACTTTTGGGACGGTGATCAGCTCGAGACGCGACAGTCCGGAGCTGGAAGCATTTAACTGCGCCGTCAATCAAATTCAATGGCCGATTTTGAACTTAAATCTTAGAACCTTGAGATACATTGGTATTATATTCTAACAGAATAACTGAAAAGAGTACAACGTGCACCTCTCACTTTAGCAAGGAGAGGCCCTTTCGCCTCTGGTGACACTGATAATGCCTAAAAACATAACTTTCAAGTTGGCATGACGACATTTTGGTGTGTCGCCATCTGTGGTTGACATCAAGGCTATACCTGCTTAGTCGGCTGATCCAAAAATATTTATCAAAACACTCCCAAGTACGGGTATGTCTGTTACACCTTAACCGACCGGTTGTCATGTCCCTTACATTTAATATCTCCTTTCCATTTCATCCCATATTTTAGAGGTGTGCCCCGTGCAAACGACCGATGAGCATGCCCGTCCCTCTTTAGTCACTTTCCAGTCATCCGTCGGGCCATTCACGCTTAGAAGGCCGCGTGCATGTTGTGCTGGCATTAGCGCGCTGCGCTAACTTGTTTCAGTTGCTGCACGCGAGACGCCAGGTCGGGGCGGGGCGTGTCATGGCATTATCGTGCGGCGACCGGGGCGAGGCGTGCTCACTCCCCCACACCTCGTAAACCGGCCGCCCGCTCTGTGCCCGGTACGGTCCACCGGACCAGCCATTGTCGCTGCCAGCTCGAACGGAACACAGTGGAGCGGCAGTGAGGCGTCACTAACGCCGTGAATGCGCCACGAACGCCGTGAATGGTCGGGGGCGCTGCAGCGGCCACTCCAGTGATCGTCAGGGTCCCCTCGTCCGTGCAGCCTGGTACATGGACGACCATGAGAGATAGCAACGACTGGGTGGATGGCAAAACTTCTTCTTGACTTCGGCTTTGAGAGTTCATATAGGCCGTAGAGTTCATAGAGTTCATATAGGAGTTCATATAGGTTCATATAGGCCCAGATCTCGAGAACGGCTGGGCCGATTGCGCTCAAATTTGGTACACGGTTGGGGACCAGTTAGTAGGGTGCAGTGCAAAAGTCAGTTTGGACCCCGCTTGCACGTGCGCACGTGCAGTGTGCCGCTTCCAGATCTCGAGAACGGCTAGGCCGATTGCGCTGAAATTTGGCACATCGCTAAAGACCTGTTAGTAGGGTGCAGTGCACAAGTTAGTTGGAGGTACCCCCTCGCAATTTCGCACGTGCAAGGCCCATCCTCTCGCTCGCTCCGTTGGTCGCCCAAAAGGCGTTTTACTGGTATAATATGTGAGAGGCTCCAGACTCGAGTATAAAGGAAAGAAGTGTATTTTAGGTTTAGGGGTAGACTATAAGAATACTGTTAGCCACCAGCTCAAACGAGTGGCATTCGCCTATTCTGGATAAAACCAGAAAACAGCTTGGAACCGTATGGTAGCCGGTAATGGATTGAATTTCTGATAGAACGGTAGAAGCGCTTGTTGCTGATGGGAAGTTGCGGAGATGGATGCCGCTGTAAATTTGGAACCTGTTACTCAGCGAGAAATAGTGACTGGAAAATAAATCGCGCCAGAATTATGAGGTGTTATCTGAAGGTCGTGTTTGACGTCTGAATGACTTATTTCAAAACTGTTTAGGATGCTGTTCTTGCATAAATCTAGGACGCAGCGAGGTTAAATTGGAAAAAAAATCTACATAGTTAGGTGCGGATTGATTTTCACATGCCAGATAATTCAAAATCTGACTTGTAAAAGTGGCCAATGAGCAAAAACATGCAGTGTCGTCTCCGACTCACGAAATGAGTTGTGGGGAAGAAAATGAAACGTTGTCCTGCGGAAACAAATATGCGACATGAGTCGTCAGTCAAGTTAACCGTTCGGCATCTGTTTCAGGTTTGTCGCCTATCTGCCTGCTGATCCGCTCATCTGCTGGCTCGGCCGAAGCGGGATCTGGCCCATCGCTGGTCGGAGTACTTCGCCACACCGTACTGCTAGTCTCTTCGCCACCTTCCCGGCGGACACTCGGTTACCGCACACCCACACGAGTCAGACACTCGGTTACAGCACGCCAACACGAGTCTGTCTTCAGCCGGCTGCCGGGGGCATACAGACCGGCATACGGCCGCAGGCCAGCAGGCGGCATCAGACGGGCCGCGGAGAGCTCGGTGTGCTGGTTTCTCCCACAGACCCACTGCAGGCCGCTCAAAGCTTGCGGACTCACCAGTGACGGACCGGGGACCGCCGCCGCGCCGCCATGCTCTCTCTGAACGTGACGGCGGCGGAGGCCGAGCCGGTGGCCACCGCCGGGCCCGGCTACCCGTGGGAGGTGCGGCTCGTGCTGATGATGGTGCTGCCCGTGGTGATCGCCTGCACCATCGTCGGCAACGTGCTGGTCTGCCTGGCCGTCTGCCTGGTGCCCAAGATCCGCAGCCAGCCGTACACGGTGCTGTACGTCTCGCTGGCCGTGGCCGACCTCTTCGTCGCCGTGCTTGTGATGCCGATCGCACTGCTTCACCTCTGGGCGGGCACGTGGCGCTTCGGGCGCACCCTCTGCGACGTCTACGTCTGCGCGGACGTCCTCTCCTGCACGGCGAGCATCCTGAACATCTGCGCCATCAGCGTGGACCGGTACCAGGCCATCACCAAGCCGCTGCAGTACTCGCAGTGGCACGTCGAGCGGCTCATGGCCGCCTACATCTGCGTGGTCTGGACGTGCGCCATCGGCATCAGCATCGTGCCCATCATCATCATCGGCAACGAGCACGGCAACGACGACGCCTGCAACGTCAGCCAGAACATCTACTATCAGGTGTGGGCCACGCTCATGTCCTTCTACCTGCCACTCGCCATCATCATCTTCGTGTACATGAAGATCCTGAAGGCGGCGCGCATCATCATCAGGCAAGAGCGTCGGTCGCAAGGTCACCTGCCCAAGAGGCCCGGCGCCGCGGAGGTCATCAAGAGCGCCTCCGGTTACGACGTTCGGCTGTGCCAGGTGCACGAGGCGTGCGCGCGGGACGGCCGAGGGGGCGCCATCAACAACAACGTGAGCAGTCGTCCGCGCGCGCGGCGCCGCTTCTGCCCGTGGTCGTTTGAGGTGCCGCGCGAGAAGAAGGCCTCGGTGACGCTGGGCATCATCATGACGGCGTTCATCCTCTGCTGGCTGCCGTTCTTCATCCTGGCCGTGATCCGGCCGATGGTGGCACGCGACTCCATCCCCGACTCCATGTCCGACGTCTTCCTCTGGCTCGGCTACTTCAACTCGCTGCTCAACCCGGTCATCTACGCCACCTTCAACAAAGACTTCCGGCGGCCGTTCCGGGAGATCCTGTGCCTGCGCTGCCGCAACCTGAAGCTGCTGCTGCGGCAGGAGCAGTACTTGGAGCAGTACGGCGGCTCCCAGGGCTCCGGCTCCAGACATATGCAGGTGGGTGCTGAGGGTTTCCTGCTGCAGACATATGTGGGTGGGTGCTGAATGGTTCGTGCTCCTGGTACGCAGGTGAGCGCTGGAGGGATACTCTCCAGACTTCAGACACGAGGCAGATAGGTACCTACGTTCTTGGTGCATCCTTAGCTGCTAGCTAATTACGATGCTACGAGCACATGCCGATTGTATATTAAGTTTGCGATTAAGTGTTGTTAGGAAAGGGTCTCTCAATCACATCATTTTCAGCATTATTATGACATAATTGCTTTGGCATTCACTCAAGCGAGATTTTCTTTTAGGCAGCTCCTGCACTTGACCTTCGACTTTTTATGGCTTTTTATGGCTTATAGATACTCAGCGTTGCGGCATTTTCATAGTTATGGTTCCGGCCATGTCGTTATTCCTTTGTGTACTCTTCCAGTTTTCAAAGCAAACTGCTCCGGTAACTGGGTGCTGAATGCTGGCTCAAAATGATAAGATTGATGACTGAGTCAAATTAGAACCGGGCTGGCTGCCAGTGAGGTTTCGGTCACCTCAATTAATCGTATAGGCGGGTTCCGACCCACGTCTTCTTGCTGCTTCCGTGCTTCATCCGTAGTGTGGTGCTGGTGAAGCTCACCCCTGCCGAGTGCCCCACTGAGTGCCGCGACTCTCCGATGACGAGTGCCGAGTGCCCCACTGAGTGCCGCGGCTCTCCGGTGCCGAGTGTCGGCTGCGCGTGCTGTGACTGGGCGCCGCGCCGGTCTGGGTCGGGTGCCGCGGCGCCGGCCCGCTTTACAGCCGCCTCCGGGGAGCGTACTTTGGCAGCCGGGCTGCGGTGATAAACCCGCCGCGCCAGTCGTCAATGTTGTTGTGCGGCAGCAGTGTGTAGTGGCGCAGCCCAGATGCCAAGTCATAGCGCTCTCGATAGGCCAACTTGGCGTTTTAAGTGCGCGGCGGCCTTATGGCTGGCCGTCTGCCGCCGACCCCGGCCGCGGTCTTATGGTCGGCCATACGCCACCGATCACAGCCGCAGATGGGCCATCTCTGGATGACGAGCTTCTTCATGTCGGCACATTATCAATGCTTCTTCATTTAATGCGGCTCGCTGTTCTGTACTCGTAATGTCCGATAGGGGCCGCTTCTAAGTAAGGAATAGGCATTTTAATTTACCATAGAATTTTAGTTAATTCTGAATTGACTCTTTTTTTAAACTTCTAATTCATGTGGCACAAAACGTTGAATGAGAGTTTTAACGACGACGGGGCCAGCGCATCCCACAGCGTAGGTCACTGATCAGTGCATTGGCCATTTCTCGTCGGCCCCGTCTTGTCTAATTGGGGGAGTGGTCCCCTGCGGTCATAGCGGTTTGTCTCCTTTAGGCCAGGTACACATGCTACTGGGACAGGTTTGTCTCGCATCCCATTCTCGCATCCCAGTCTCGCATCCCAGTGCATCCCATTCAACGTGGATCAGTCAGACCGATAACCATAATTCATGACCTGAGTTGTAGCGCCTAAAAACCCAATCAACAAGCTAACATCTTCAGCAGATAGGACTAATGTGCCAGCACCGCACTAGACGGACAGCCATCTTCTCAAACAGAATCCTCGGCCGACAGTAGAGCGGCGACCCAGGTCGTCTAGGCTGAGTGGAAATCGGTGTCTATCCCGCCACCGCGCCTCTCCGGGAGCAGCTGGAGTGCATCGCTCTTCCGGCGCGAGCGTCTCCCATTCACTCCCAACGTTGCGCCCGTTTAGTAAAAAGTGGAATGCTTCCCAGAAACCATGCACGTACCGCAGCGAAACTTTGTTCCATGCTTGAAGTGCAGCTTATACGATGACTCACGTAAATGTGAGCCAGCTCAGTTTTACAAAGGTTTATTAACTTTTCAGCGAAGTTCGACGGTGTGATTTGACGAAAATTAATGTAAATTAATGTAAAATTAATGTAAAATTAATGAAAATTAACGCGCCCCAGTGGCGGTCTCGGCCAACTTCTCCCTAGTGGGGGGGGGGGGCATATGTTACCACCCACCTCTAACTCAAAAACTAAGAGGGCTAGAAAGACGCGGTAAAAGCAGTCGATAGCTCTCAATGCGTACGTGTGAAAGTATTTCAGTCATTTTTCATCTTAGAGCAATATTGGGGTCACCAGAGGTCATCAAAGGTCAAAATTTGCCAATTGTCATTATAGGTATTTTTCAGAAAACATGCCGTTATCTCAGGAACTATGGTAGCTAGAAAAACGCATGGAACAGCAATCGATAGCTTTTGAACTCTTCTTTTGATAAAGTCATTATCAAAATTGACCTCAGGTCAACGGTTTAGCCTCCAGAGGGCAAAAACTCCAAAAATAGCTGATTTTACGAAAAGTGTTTTTCGACAATACCTTTCGACATACAAAAAGCCACGACACTTCTATTGCCAGAATCGTGTTTCTCTCGCCGAGACGCGTCGAATGAACTATAAGTTGACCTTGAAAGGTCAACTTTAAAATTTGATCTCAGGTCAAGGTCATGACCTGACCGGAAAAGGTCATGTTGCATATCAGTCTATGCATCTCAACAAGACGAACACAATGAGACCATCCCCAGCGTTCTATCTCTTTCCAATCACGAGTTATTGGCAAAAATCTGTTTGTAGCCTCAAATGACCTCGGATGACCTTTCTAGAGGCTATCAGCAAAAATGACACCTAGGTCATCACGGGTGGCCCAAATCATTGTGATTCTGAAATATTTGGACTGTTCCTATGCGTACACACGGATCTAGAGACATTTTCATTTTTCTCCATTGACTTGTAATGAAAAGGTCACGCCACTGACCTGACCTTAGGTCACGGATATAAAAAAATCCGAGATATACAAACTTTAGGCGCCCATAACAGCATGCAATCCGCCAAGTTTAAAACCTTTCTGACAAACACTGCAGGATGGACATGATTGCAAACTTTTTTTTAGGCTTGGTCAGTTAACTTGACCTGGTGACCTGACCTTGACAGGACCTGGGGTCAAAAATTTCACATTGTCCAAAATTGATGTACCAAAAGCTACCCCAAGCGGCGCGGCGCTACGCGCCGCGGTTTTTTATTCACACGCAAAAAACGCGACAGGGTGGTAACATATGCCCCCCCCCCCCCACTGGGGCGAAGGTTAACGGTGCGTTCACTGGAGATTAACCATCATTAATTCAGAGGAGTCCGTGCACCAATTTAACTTAAATCATACCAATAGGGATAGATCACACATGGTAAGCCTTCATACTTGTACCTATGTAGGACTAGGATTATTGCTTAATTGCATGATAAAGTTTCAACGACAGGGATGGCCCATCTTTCCCAATATGCCCTGTCACATATCCCGACGTGTTATTATGCAGAAATATGTTGTATACCTAACTAGGCACACTGGTGCCGAATGTGATAGACAATGATACCTCATATCTGGTTCAGTGCTTCCCCATTAGACCGCGAGGTATTTTCCTGGCCGCGTTGTAGTAACTTGTTACATGTAAAGGTTTTTACGTAACCCCACTATCGGATTTCTGAGCAGTATTATTTGCTAGGTACTGGCGTTCATTAGTTCCTAGGCGGCCGGGGCCCGCTTACCCATCTGGTTCGCCCGTGGACACGGCGGTGATCTGTGCAACGCAAACATGTGGCTTGTGCGTTCCGGCACCCAGCAAGACGCAAGTTGACCCTATTAGACCTTTTTGACCAGGTATCTTGACGTTAGCCGGTGACCTGTGCGGCCCAGCTGACCCCTCTGACCCCTCTGACCCATTCGCTGGCCCAGCTGACCCCTCTGACCCCTCTGACCCATTCGCTGGCCCAGCTGACCCCTCTGACCCCTCTAAACCATTCGCTGACCTGCCGTAATTCTGTCTCTGCCCCCAGGTGGAGCCAGCGCCAGTGCTGCCCGTCACCGGGTACCGCCCCTGCCGGTCGAGTACCACTGGTCTCGGTACCGATACCGACCCGGTACCGGTACTGGTACGCGGCGCCTCGGACATCGAGCTGGACCGGCTCACCGGCCGGCCGAGGTCGGCGGCGCTCCACAACGGCATCTGCAGCGAGTCGGCCATCTGAGGTGTGGGTGGGTTCGCGACGGGACAGGTGGGACTGAGTGGGATGGATGGGCTGGATGGACCCGCCACCTGACATCAGGTCTACTGACTACTGAGGGTGAGCGCAGGACGGAAGGAAGACGTCCTCAGTGATATCGAAACAAACACAGAGGAACGCTGTCAGTGACCGGAGGATGCAGAACGCCCTTGGTGCTCGCGGGACACAGAGAACGTGCGTAAGTAAGTAGTGATCGCGAGGCGCAGAGGGATGTTGTTCTAGACCGGAGGGCGTGAAAGGAACTCCGGGGGACCCCACTGAGCTGCGTAGGAATGATATGAACCCGAGCGATAGCCCGGTGTGTGATTTAGTGGCAGGCTGTGTCAGCCCCTTAGCTGTGTGATAAGACGTGCACATTAGGACTGTTTAGTGTTCAGATGGACTGCCCGCGAATTGAGTATCGTCTCGATCAACTGAGCTTAAACGGACAACTCAGCCATGGAAGGTCCATCAATGTGCGGTTATACAATCAGCTTAGTTAGTAACCTACCTACTACCGAAAGAGGAAGAGAGAGATAGAATGAGAGAGAGAGAGAGAGAGAGAGAGAGAGAGAGAGAGAGAGAGAGAGAGAGAGAGAGAGAGAGAGAGAGAGAGAGAGAGAGAGAGTCGTAGCATTTTTAGCCTCAGAGTCAGCATCACCATCTCGGTTTCACTGTAAATCAAGCATTTTGTGTCAGTTGCATGAATTGAAGTAAAACTATTATACTCGTAATTATGGCGCTAGCTGCAGCTAAGAAATATGTTTTTTTTTAGGTTTATCTAGTCAATCATCTCCGATTGTGACCTTCGAAGAGATACGAGAAGTGACAACGGTAAGTCAGGAGATATCAGATGGGTGACGGCGACACATAGGTACACATACAGATGTGAACAGTTCAATTAGGCGACATTTGACTGATAAATGGTGAATGCGAGATGGAATGTTGGTTTTTAGTCTGTTTTCGAGATATTGCAAGATACGTTTCACCTTTTTGTGCTATGCTTGCTACCACATGCGATCACATTTCCAGTCATTCGCTCTAAAAAGTAAAAAGTATCACTGCGTCGTGCATACCGTATTACCACAACATCATATCTCACTGCACGTTTCTGCGCCGTACGTTTTGCTGTGTTCAGGTATGTCTGAAATAAGTCAATTGTATGATCGTTAGTTCATCTGGTCGTGCTGATAGACTTTGTTCCACTGCTGCGCGCGTGTAACGTGTAACGTTCAGTGCTGAACGCTGCAGTGCAATAGTCTCAGCCACCACGGCTCTAAACGTTCGTACGCATGTGACATGTGCTGGCGGATAGGGTGGGTTGGTGAGTGGGTATCGCCATCGCTCACCGGACGTGTGCTTTTGTTGACAGCGATCTGTTGACTGCGCACACGGGACTGAGTATCTGAGCATCTGGGTATCTGTAGTGCGGCCTTCGCCGGTGGCGCCGTCGATAGAGACGGGACACGCGCCAGGCCGCAACTCCCATGGTGATATGTCAACAGAGGGTAGCCTATATGATGGACTGAATAAACGTCCACGATCAGCAATATATCAGCTAGACTGTTTCAATTCCTGTGTGTGCTTAGTATAGGCCATGACACAAGTGCCTTGAAGCGTGGACAGTAGCAGAACAACGTTTCGATGCCATGGCGAAACACTTAATATAGCCGTAGCTTGAGCCGTAGCACCAAATCGTTAGCGTCGATTTATTATCTTAATTCGTACCTATCCTATATCAAGACGACATTGTACTGTATAGTCGGTCAAATATGTATCTTTCCCGGCCGCCAAGTGGCGCTACGGTCTGGATTCGATAGTTGGCTGAGCCCACACCCCAGCTGACCTGGCGGCTCTGGCGGCCCTGTGACGTCACGCGCGGGGGGCGGAGCTACACAGCGGCCGGCTGGAGAGTGACCGCAGACCAGCACTGGACGGCCTCGCCGCCGGGTGCTCCGGCGGGTCTGGCCGGGAGAGGCGAGCAAGCGGATGCGTTAGGAATCTAACGAATGTGAGGGCAGCGCGATGGTCTAATGATGGCTGTGCTTTCATGCGCCGTGTAAATTGTAGACTGAGTGCTATGAGCTATCAAAGGATTATCTGGTGTTTCAACAGGGGTCGCTGACCTAAAAATTAAGATGGTTGCTCTTGATACGATCGAATGCTTGGTGATATGATGATTAGCGCAAGAGAAATATTTAATCGAATTATGACCGGTTATTTTTTGATAAAGCAAAAACTTTTTTCTTTTTTATTGGCATTAACGGGAAAGCGTTAAGCCATATCTACTGAAAATCTTAACCTGCGCCGGGCCGGGGGGGGGGCGATTTGCGCCCCCCCCCCCCAGGTTTTTCGCAGATAGCCGAAAAACGGCGGCGTGCAGCGCCACCAAATTTTGCATACCTGTTTTTCCATCTATTGCGCATACTGTGTGCGAATTTTGACCTTATATGACTTAAGGTCAGGTCAACAGGTCGGTTTGAGTGACCTAACGTCACAAAAAGTTTGAACTTGCACCAAAGCTACAACTGTTGACCGGTCGATATGAAACTTTCAGGAGTTAGTAAGGGTGACAATATCCACAAAATGTATGTCTCGGATTTTTTTATCTATGACCTGAGGTCAGGTCAATCTCACAACCTCCCCATTATAAGTCAATGGGATAAATTTCAACTTCATCTGAATGCCACCCGATCCACACAATATATTCAGGATCATGGTGTTGCAGGTCCCTGGTGGTCATTCTACCAAAAGATGTCACCGGTGACCTTTGGAAGGTGTCGCTAGGTCATCCGAGGTCACCTGAGGTCACCAGCGGGGGTTTTCTGCAATAACTTTTGAGTGAATAGAAATAGAGACTCCGTTCGACGTTTATCATGTTTGTCTGATCAATGCGGATCGAATGATCTGGATCAAAAGCTATTTAAGAAAAAGTATCAGAAGTAAACACGTTTTTTATCGCTCTTTCGAACGCCGCCTACCGCTTGTCTCTACGACGCTCAGGAGTCGAGTTAGACGGGGGGGGGGGCGTAAAACCGCCCCCTCCTAAAACTGCCTGTTGTGTTACAGATAGAGCACCGGCCCGGCGCAGATTAAACGTTTTCCTTGACCCGGTGCTGTGGCTCAATCAGTGGGCCAGCTGGCCGCAGACCATACCCGCAGGGCATGAACCTTTGACCATATTAGGTCAACACGCCGTGGCCCCAGCCCGCTCGCCAGGTCCGCGCTCATTGGCCGACGCGGCAACCGCACAACCTGTCCCCTCCCCTCCGTAGTACTCGCAGCGGCCGGCGGATTCAGCCAAGTTACCGACCTGCCCAGCGTGGGGAGGGCCGGCCGGGAAAGATACATATTTGACCGACTATACCTACATTATGAAGGTCAATGGCGAGATTGATGCCAAAACTTTCAGGGTCAATATATTTGGTCATCACACTAATATCCTACACGCATTTCAAAAGCTACGGATGTAGTTCGATTCTATATTTACTCAATATTGCATAAAAATGACATCTATAATAGACATGACGTCAATCCGCGTAGCAGCGATGGTATGAAACGACAATGTAAAAATAAATCCCTTACATCGGACGTCCTTTTCTTTCGAAATCCGAAATTTCTTTCGGCTCCCTTAATCCTCATATTATATCAGTTGTATGAAATGGCCCGTTTAATCGACCAGAGAAAAGGTGGCACACAGGCCGTTACTTGCTCAGCACTTCTTTTATTGCTAGTACCGCAAACACGCAGCAGCTGCAGTCAGTTTGCTGCTCAAACATCCATCGGCCAATGACCCCAGGCAAACAGGCCAGTGGCAATATGTCAAAGGCATAGGAAGTCAAAGGGCTGACAAGGCCCAATATGCATTATCGTCGTTTTATGTTTATCACATTTCTTTCCTGCCTCCAAATGTTATGACGGTCCATCAGTGGGGACTATGGGAGCCTCACTAAGAGGTAGGTCGAGGTAGACGAAGGACGTGCGAACTGCTGTGGACGTGGCCGTGGACGGTGAAGACGCTACAACCAGCTCAGAAGGCCGCGAGCCCTGGACGGACGGAGAGTCGGGCATGCTGTTGACAGAGGTCACCCCAAGTAAGCGACCGGAGGGGTCGGCTCCGATGGAGCCTGCTGATGGTCCCGTCTCCGACAGGGGACAGCCCCCACACCCCCAGCTGGTGCGCCACTCGGCGGCCTCACGCGCCTTCCTGCGCCTGCTGAGGGTGTGTGCGCTGACCGGGGGCACCAGCCGTGCTGAGCGGCTCTACTCCGCCTTCGTCTTCATCCTGATCACGGCTGGCGTCGCCTTCAACGTGTCGTTCGCCGTGTGGAGGGGCGGCCTGATGCTGCGACAGATGGGCTTCGTGGAAGCGGCCGCCAAGAGCGGCGGCATGTTCGGCATGACCGACGCGCTGATGTGGGTGCCGAGCGTGGCGTGCCTGTGCGGCGGCCGGCGGAGGTACAGCGCCCTGCTGATGACCCTGGAGCGCCGCCTCGGACCTCTGGTCAGCCGGTCCGGCTACCGGCACCCAGCCCACCGCCTCGACAGGGAGGTTCGCCGCCGCGCTGATCCTGTTCTCCGCCGCTGTCTCCGTGGCAATCATGCTTACCCTTCATAATGAACCCGCCTTCTTCAGTTCCTTGTCGACGATAGAAGTGGCGATTCTGGTCAGTCTGTTCTTTGTGTATTCCTCGTCTTTCCAGCTCACTCCGCTCAAGTTTGTGTTTGCCGGGGTTCACGTTAGCAGCGGACTTCGGTTCATCAACGAGGAGCTCCGGGCCGATATCGATCACATCACTCATCTCACTCCTGTCGCCATCGATCACCTTTTGGCGCTGCACGACGATCTGTCCAAGGCCTTCACTTCTCTAACGACGGGCATGTACTACGAGCTGCTCGTCTGCATGCTGTACGGCACCATCTCCAGCATCTACATGTGGCTGCTGCTGGTCCTGACCGCGCCGAGCGGCGTGGTGTCACAGTACGCGCTCATGATCACCCAGTACGTGGTCGGCGCCGCCGTCACCGTCATCCTGCCGTGCGAGCTGACACAGCGCGCGCTGGCCGTTGTGGGCGACACGCGCGACCTCCTGCTGACGGCGGAGCGGCGCCGACCGCAGCTCAGCCAGCAGCTGGGCCTGTTCAGAGAGACGGTCGGCCGCGACCTGGACACCTTCGGCGACCTGGGCCTGTTCCGTCTGCAGCGGTCCACCGTGCTCTCCATCTCGGCCACCATCCTCACCTACATCATCGTCCTGGTGCAGTTCTACGACGCTCCCGTCATCCAGGCGCTCTGCCAGGCGATCAACGGGACTGCAAATCCTCCCAACTGAGTGACACGAACACGCGCTCAGCGCTGGCTCATCTGGGAGATTTTCAGCTCATGTACAATAGTGACACCTAGTGTAGGACACCTAGTGTGACACCTAGTGACACCTACCTAGTGACATTAGTTACAATATCGCGAAATAATTACAACAAAATGCGAATGGGTAGCCGAAACTTGGTACTTAGGTCCGCAAAGCCAGGTAGCTGAAGGCACACTAAGAAATTGTAAACATCATCTGAGTGACCTGATACAATCT